GTGACGGTCAATCCCACTACTCGTTGGTAAAAGAGGTGGGTGATGATGACCAGCTGCCTTCCCTCTACTCTTGCACTGCTAAATTAGGGACAGCTAGCGCAGATAGCCCTCGTGTAGCTTTGCGCGAAATTCAAAACAACCAACCAACCAACCCTGCGGTTAACAGAACACAGGTAAATCATTGTATAACTTTGAACAAACAAACAATATTTGTAATATAAATGTACTGTATGTATAAGCGCAAAGGAGTTTTCTACTTAATAAAGTTCCTTTGTGTGGTATAACAACATTTATATTACATATTACACAGTAAATGAAAATTAAATCCTTTGCTGCTTCGATGGAAAAAAGGCCACTATTTTAATTGAATGTGCCCCCCCCCCCCCCGTGGTTCAATGGCAAATTTTAGGTCTGTCTTATAGTACTAAAATTGGGTTTCGACACCCACGATGGGCACAGTAATATATGAATTGTAATTTGCACAACGTTCTGAGATCACTGCGATAAAATATAATTTATCTCTATTTCAACGTTGTGATTTTATTTTTCAGCACATGTGGTCCATTATGTAGCTGCTTAACAACAAACATATTTGAACTTAAATACTTAAGAGTATAAACAAAATTGCTCAGGTCTTTCCCACGTCATGTTTAAATTGAATAACGTGATGTTAACCAAGACTTTTCTCATTTTAGATTTGTAAAATAAAAAAAGTGCTTTGAACGCAGATGTTTGCGTTTGAAATTGATCATACTGGGATTGTATATGGACAACTTTCGGTGATGTAACACAGATATGAACCTAAGCTTTTAACATATTTATTATTTTGTGTAGTTAGGTTAAACTAAATAAGATTATAAGTGTCATTAAATCTAGCGAATGTTGGCTTATAGTACATATGTGACATCATACACAAAAAAGATGATTTAATCAACCAAGATTGATTTATTTTTGTAAAGTGTAAAGTTGTACGGATAATAAATGCATCAAATTTATTGATCATCGTTCAGAAAATAGCCAATCTCCAGAGTATTGGCTACTGTGGCATGATTTTTCAAGTAATCTGTGAGTGTCAGATTAGCGCATGCATTTAATTAAACCAATTTCCTTATATTTCATATAGAGGATTGAAATCGCCTTGACCTTGGTGTTATTTTGAAACATGACTTTGAGAAATTCAAATATGTCGCTATGCGCTACTTTCTAGCATGGCTTGAGAATTTTCTTATTATCTGGTTATGATTTACATTTCAGGGTCATAGTAACAAGCTTGTCGGATAATAGATTATTTGCATTTTGGGTTAAGATAATAAAGTAAATATCGATAGCCTAAATGCTTGCTTTAAGCATTATAGGGTTCAGCATGATGAATAAATTAATAACAGCTTTTCGTAAAACAAAATTTTTTCTGTAAATCGACAACTTCTATGAAACGCAACAAGCAGGCCGAATTTTTTTTATGTTGTAGCACGATTACTGTTGTCCCCCCGCTGGGACAGCGGTGAGTCAGGGGTTCGATTCCCCTCGGTGGACACAGCAGATAGCCTGATGTGGCTTTGCTACAAGAAAAATACATAAAACGCACGGTTACTGTTCTCTTCAAAACCAGGTGTAGAGAAGTGGAGTTATTTTGTACTGACATCATATTTTAATTAATATTATAAATTTTAAGACCTGATGAAGTATAGCCCTAACTGCTAGTTAGTGTGTATTTCATCAGAATCTTTTAATTGTGTTCCTATGAAACGAAAGACTGAAACTTCAAAACATAGACTTTACTGCTAATTCCAATCTTACAAGGGGCAATACATTTGGTTAAATTTGTGTTGCAACTAATACTTCTGTGTATTAGTACATTCGTATCAGGCAAGTTATCTCTAATAAGTCATATATTTACAGATGTCGTAGCTACGAAAGCTATATGCTTTTTTTTTTTTGAAAATTGAGATTGTTTGGTGACAAAAGGAAGTGCTTTCTATGAAGTGATTTGTTGTTATAAGCTAGGAGAGTTCAGACTTGTCCGTTGGAGACAAGATATTCCCAGGGGATGTATCGCACTTGCCGCGAGAACAGCAACGAAGAAAATAAGTTACTACATTTAAATCTGCTTAAATAAAAAAAAAATTTAGCGACAAACCTGCTTACATAAAATATTTCTGCGACGACGTGTAGACACTTTAAAGGATGAGTAGAAAATATATATATATATCATAAGAAGAAATTAGCATGGTTAAGGTTTTAGCTAATCTGAGTATTTTAGCCTAAAACTCATTGTTAATCGTGAAATATAGTTTACTTTGAACATAATGCTTTTTTCCACAAATTCTAATCGCATTTCATATATTGCAGATTTCTGATACTTTTGCTATGCAATCTATTTGTTTTTATTTCTGATGGTTAAATTTTATTGCTGTAAATGTCGAAAGATTAAAGTTTTCGCGTACTGCCTCAAAATGTATCGTGGACCGAATATTAGCATAACTATCATTAATTGTTTATATTTGTAAATAGCTCACGAACCTCCACCATATCACAAAACGCTTGCGTGTTGTGTAACTGTCTATTAACCAATTTACTAATAGAACATAGGTGGATTTTGACATCTTAGGATATTACTGGTCAGCTAATGGTACCTTACAGTTGGGCTGACCACACAAAACAGGAGGTTTTTGGAGTTGTAGATATCAAATGTGGGTGACGCGGGGAGAAGAGATGAAACAGTTTTTAATGCAACAGAAACAGTAGGGCTTTAGTCACAAAACAGCATAAGGTAGTAGAGAACTTAGGAGGAACTTAAGTTGAAATAAGTAAATTGAACAAAATACAAATAAATTATTAACATAAATAAATAGAACAGAATTATAGAAATGTTGGTTAAAATTTTTGAATTAATTAAACAAAAAGCTTACAAAATCAGGAGGTAAGAAACCTTTTAGATCCCTTCTAAAGTGATTCATTTTCATTGCATGTTTATCAAAGAAATTCATTAACTAGTTGCAGTTTGTGCGTGTTTTCAGGTTCCTAACCTTTGACTTGAAACACCCTTATGTTTAAATCCATAAGATGGCGTATTTGTTCATTTGTATTTTGCCTTGAATGATTAAATATCATAGTTATTAAAGTATGTTGTAAATCCTATTACTTCTCTCGCGCATCAAGAAATTACACAACCTGCCCGAGTTATACTATTGTGACTGAGCGGACGATACTCAAATGTTAACAAAAACAAACAAATCGTGCTGACGAACATGTGTGTTTAAAACATGCATGGAAAGGCCTGGTGGTTCGACTCGCAAGCTGCGGATCATGGGGTCGAAACCAGTCGCTTAACTTGCTCGTCCCTTCTGCCCTGGAGGCGTTATAATATGACAGTCAGTCCAACTATTCATTGGTAAATAGTTGCCCAAGAGTTGGCGGTGAGTGGTGTTGACTAGCTGCCTTTCCTCTATTCTAGCATTTCAAAATGAGTTGGAGCTGTAACTTTTGTACGAAATTCAACAAACAGTGTTTAACACATTATTTTTGAAGTATTTAGAAAACATGTTGATCCAGAAAAGAGTGAATTTCCTCTACTTTTCTTACTGTTTTTGTCACTTTCAAAATTATTATTTTCACCAGTTGTGTATTATGTAGATAATCCAGGTTGGAGCCATTGCACTTGCAGTAGTCTTTGATCTTCGATAATAATATTCCTGGTTATGTTATACATACCCTCCTCCTCTCATCATATACTTCGTACTTCTGCCTTGCAAGTTATATATTATTACTTGCTTTTAGGAAGAGTGAAAAAGATGTGCTGAAAATGACGTTTGTGTTGCTTTGTTTTATGAACCGTACTATAGCAGCTAGCAAGTAAATATCAAATTATCGGATGAGGACAGTCGTATATTAAAATACATAACACTTTCCGTTATTAATTGTTAACGTGAATTCAAGAATGGATCATGCGCTATAGACCTTAATCCTAAATCCTGTGTACATAAATTTGGTCAGTGGAACTCTCATAGGAATATGATAGAGTTATTGTGTTTTAACTTAGAATATATATACTGTCTTTATATAGATATTGTCTTTGTAGGAAATAAAAATAAATGTCAGCAGGTTTTAGAGTTCAATTCTGTATACCGCACAGCATGAACGAAAAACTATCCTTTAAAACTGAAAAAAAAATTCCATTGTTCTCTGAAAAATAAAAGAAAAAAGTTGATAGCAAGCCCTGTCCTTGAACTTTTCGAACAAATAAAAGAATCTCCAAATCTTATAGATAGTTCTGATGTCTCTCCCTGATTGCAATAATACATAGGGAAACTAGCAGGTGTCTTGATTCTTTGCACCTTATTAGCCAAGAATGTTTTTTGTGATTATGTTTCTTTATTATCCAGTGAGAGTAGATTTTGAATGTTAGACTTACAGCGCACCTCAGTTCCCGGATAAGAGCGAGTTATTGAAAGAATGGTTTGAGCAGTGGAGATAGATGGAGAGCTTACGTTACTCATAAAAAGAAATGATGGGTGATATATATTTAACCACTATAGTGAAAACACACAACGTATCACGTGGTGTATATTTATGGAATCCCTCATTTCTCATGTCAACGGCAATTGGTGATGTAAGAAATACCTGATTATTTTAGGTACTTTGTTTAAAAGCTGTTTTGTGGGAGGAGAGGAGCGTTGGTATTATTATAAGACGATTTCATTTTGCGCGGCTCCATGCTGTTACCAGTGGCTTAACGTTATACATATCAATTAACTTCCTCGTTCGCTAGGTTTTTTCCTACTTTTCTAGAAGCACACAGGCTTTCATTCAACCAGTATGCGACGACACCTTTTATCCTTCGACTTTACTGGAATTACAGGAAGTTCTGCCCTATGTACGTACTTCCTTTTGGTAAAAGATACCAGTACGCGTGTCACTTGGAGGTGCAAGTAAATTCGATCAAGTCATCTAGTTCTCAAAGCTAGTGCTTGTTCACCATGTACGCGCAGCAACGTAAATCGTGCACGAGTTGATCAAGTGTTTTGATGTATATATAATTAGGTAGTACTGAAAGAGATGTGATTTTTCATAGTGAGTGTTTTTCTGTTGTGACCAGTTTTGCCTTTCTCTGAAGTAAAAACTCCCAAATACACAGAAGCGTTTTCTTCAAGGTAATAGACTGTTTTGATAGCGCTGTAAAGAAATGGTATTAAGGGTTAAAAACAAAGGTTTTTTCTAGACTAAACAGTGTTACAAGTTGTAGAGTAACGATTTGTCTCTTGTAATACTAAGGTAAGAAATGATTTTTATAGTACCATAAAGAAAACGTTTTAAGTGTTAAAAACAAGGGCTTTTTCTAGACTAAACAGTGTTACAAGTTGTAGAGTAACGATTTGTCTCTTGTAATACTAAGGTAAGAAATGATTTTTATAGTACCATAAAGAAAACGTATTAAGTGTTAAAAACAAGGGCTTTTTCTAGACTAAACAGTGTTACAAGTTGTAGTGTAACGATTTGTCTCTTGTAATACTAAGGTAAGAAATGATTTTTATAGTACCATAAAGAAAACGTATTAAGTGTTAAAAACAAGGGCTTTTTCTAGACTAAACAGTGTTACAAGTTGTAGTGTAACGATTTGTCTCTTGTAATACTAAGGTAAGAAATGATTTTTATAGTACCATAAAGAAAACGTATTAAGTGTTACGAACAGTTTTCTCTTGAGTAAGCAGTGTTGCTTCTCTAATCACTTGTACGCTAACGATTGTTCTTGAAATAACGTTATCCAAGGAGATAGATCAATTTAATAAATTCTGTAAGTGTTGCACTTTTCCTAGGATAAACAGTGTTAGTTGTTTAATTTCTTACGATTTTTCTGTAACATTCTTCAAAATAATATATTGTTTTCATAGTGTGATAATATGGCTTAATTGTTAGCATGTCAAACTTCGGTCAGAACGTCCAAGATTCTGGTCACGATATGCCACTGAACATGCTTTCCACTTTCAGCTGTTGGGTATTATAACTGTGATAACCAATCCCACTATTCAGTCGATATGTCGCGTTAAGGTGCTACTAATGTCAAAATATCAAATCTCTCAAATAGTTTACAGTAACAATTTTCTGTAGTATAACAGCGCTTCTTTAGTAATCTATATAGTTTTCTACGTTGTATTTTTACTAACTTTTTTCTAACATTGCTTTGTGCGTTAGTTATTTTTCACTGAAGGCCTACCTTGGTAGAATTTGTTTTAGGATCGAGGTTTCGACCCATTTTTCTGTTCACTGTATGGTCTTTCTATTTTTATCAAATGAAGAGCAGACAAAACTTGAACGACACAGATTCTCCTTCATTTGTTTCTTAACATAATCGTTCTGTACTTGATGTACCGTTATTACATCACTGAAAAACTTGTAATTGGTATGTTGTTTGTGGTACTGTAACATATCGTTCTGTACTTGATGTACCGTTATTACATCACTGAAAAACTTGTAATTGGTATGTTGTTTGTGGTACTGTAACATATCGTTCTGTACTTAATGTACCGTTATTACATCACTGAAAAACTTGTAATTGGCATGTTGTTTGTGGTACTGTAACATATCGTTCTGTACTTAATGTACCGTTATTACATCACTGAAAAACTTGTAATTG